TGATGGGACGTCTATAAAATGGAATACTTTACAGTCATCAAAAAGAATGAGAAAGCACTTTTTGTCCTGCCATGGAACAATCATTGTGACAGACTGCCCCATGGAAAAAGTAAGATCAGGATACTCTAAAAGCTAATCAGAGAATTACCTTACAACCCAGCAAATCCACCCCTACACACATATCCAAATGAACTGAAAGCACAGACTCAAACAGATACTTACACACCAGAGTTCACAGCACCACTATTCACAAGAATCAAATGGTAGAAACAACCCAAGTGTCCATGAACAGATGAATGGATAAACAAAACACGGTATATCCCAACCATGGCATATTAGACAGCCATACAGAGAATGAATGCTACAGGATGGGTGAAACAGGAAAACATCATGCTGACTGAAATAAGCCAGACACAGAAGAACAAATACTGTATGATCCCACTTATATGTAGTATCTGTTGTTGTTGTTGTTATGTGCCGTTGAGTTGGACCCAACTCATAGCAACCCCTCCTTGGGTTTCCAAGGCGGTATCACTATGGAAGTAGATTGTCCCATCTTCCTTCCGAGGAGTGGCTGGTGGATTTGAACCGCCAGCCTTCTGGTTGGCAGTCAAGTGCCTTAGGCACTATGCTACCAGAGTTCCCCTATGTAGTATCTAGAATAGACAAATGCAGAGACCAAAGTTTATTAGTGGTTACCTGTGGCTGAGAGAATGGGGAGGTAGTACTTAAAGGGTAATGAGTCTGTTTGGGGTTGCTGAAAACCTTTTGGGTATAAAACAGTGGTGATGGTTGCACACATGATGAATGTAACTAAGTCACTGAATTGTACACTTAACAATGGTTAAAATGGCCAATTCTATGTGGCATGTATCTTACCACAATGCAATTATATGGAAAACTTATAAGGTGCAGACCAATGTGTGTCTTGTAAAGGAACAGTGACATCAATGCAATGACTTGAATATTCATAGGACCTGTCTCAACATGGGCACAGGAGGCCTCCAAGGAAAGAACTGGGCCGACAAGACACAGGCATGAGAGGAGGACTCTTCTCTCCACACCCCTGGCTACTGTCATGAATTGGATTGTGTCCACACCAAATTTACAAGTTGCAAACCCTCACATTTGTGGGGGAATCCTATTTGGGAATAGTGATACCTTTGCTATGCGAATGAGACCATGTCAGTGTAGGGTAAGTCTTAAGCCAATTACTTTGGAGACAAATAAAAAAGCAGCTCAGTCCCAGAGCAAGCAAGCACAAATGGAGGGAGACTGAGGCCAAGTGGCAATCTCTGAGCAGCCCAGGAAGAGAGGCTGAAAGACACAAGGGTTTTCATCCAGAGTGCACAGAGAGAGCCTTTCCCTAGAGTTGGGGTCTGCATTCAGATTTCTAGCCTTAATACTCAAAGTACCATGAACTGCCAAAAGAACTAACAAATCTGTCCTGGAAGAAGTGCAGCCAGAATGCTCCTTGGAAGCGAGAATGGCCAGACTTCGTCTCACCTACTTTGGTCATGTTGTTAGGAGTAACCATTCCCTGGAGAAGGATTTCATGCTTGGTAAAGAGAAGGGTCAGCGAAAAAGGGGAAGGCCCTCAATGAGATGGATTGACACGGTGGCTGCAGCGATGGGCTCAGGTATAGCAGGGATTGGGAGGCTGGCACAGGACTGGGCAGCGTTTCCTTCTGTTGTACACAGGGTCGCTAGGAGTCAGAGCTGACTCAATAGCACCTAACAACAACAACAGACTATAAGGAAATAAATTTCTGTTGGTTAAAGCCACCCACTTGTGGTATTTCTGTTATAGTAGCACTAGGGAACTAAGATAGCTATGTTTTTATTTTGTTCCATGGGAACATATTACTTACAATAAAAAAAAAAAAAAAATGAACAAAAACCAAAAACAACTAGTGCCCCACAGCTGTACCGGCTCCTGTTTCCTTTCTTCTAGCTCTTTCCCATCTCTCTTCTCAGCACTCACCCTCCCTCTGCACTCACCCTCCCTCTGCACTCACCCACCCTCCTCCCTTTCTGTCACCCAGAGAGGCAGCAGTGTACCAAGTGCTAGATGTGGTACCAAGCAGTGAGGCCATAAAGCTGGCCACTTGTGCCTGCATGGGGACACTCTCACCTCTGGGAACCTTCAGAGCCTCTTGTAGCAAGCAGGGATCAGAACAGCTCCCCTCCCTGAGCTGCTGAAAGGATTACAGCAGGTAACTGTGGGAAGGGTGTTGTGCAGGGGGGACACCTTCTGCTTTTGCTGACCCTGAGGGTGGCCAGCCTTCAGCAAGTCGGAACCACCTAGGTTTCTTTGATTTCGATGGGGGAACTGTGCCAAGAGCTGCTTTGAGCAGCAGGTGCAGGGAAAGCCCTGAGAAGGGTGGCTTGTTCAAGTGTGTGTGCAAGTAGGGGCCAGTGGCTGAGATGGTGTGTTGATGCTATGTCTACCTACACTTCTGCTCCCACCAAAGGGGTGAGGGGACAAAGACGTCTGCAGGCCAGATGGTCTGCAAATCAACAAAGCTGCCTCTAGGCTCACTGCATTGTGTCCTGCAAGCCCCGATACTCAAGACATCCTTGGCAGTGGCTTCGGAAATGCTGGTGACGCTGGAGAGCCACTGCTTCAGAGGATGCACTTGCACGAGAGGAAAGCACCCATGGAAGGCTTTGAGCTCCACCCACCCTCCAAGGGAAGTCGGAGAGGGGGCCCCCAGGTGGGAGCGGTGGGCAGTGGGGAGGGGGAGTGTGTTCATGGATGTCCAATCATTTCTGCTTTCACTGACGTCCACCCCCTCCACCCTCCACACCATCAACAGGCTGTGGTGGTGCTACACCGAGTTCAAACATTAGCTCCACCACTTGCTGGCTGGGAGACCTCGGGCTGACAGACGGCTCCACCTCTCACTGTCTCGGTTTCCTTCCTGTAAAATGCAGATTATAACAGTCCCTCTCCCATAGAGTTGTTATGAGGATTAAATGAGTTATCCCAGCATACTACGTGATCAGTAAATATTAGCTATTCTTCATCATCAGGAAAGGAAATGGATTTCTGGTAAGAAAATGATGCCCACTGTTGTTGACACTTGTCATGAGGGAAAATGTGGGCTTCTGATCCTGAACAGGTATAAACAGAGGCAGCTTTCAAGTCAGAAAGGGCAAATTATGGATTGAATTGTGTCCCCCAAAAGATATGCTGAAGTCCTAGGCCTTGGGCCTGTGAACATGACCCTGATTAGGGGAAGAGAGTCATCATCACTGCCAAGGTTCTCGTCTCTTCTTAGCTCTGTTCCATTATACTGTCAAGCATCACAGCCCTGTCAGAGGATAGCTACTGAATCCCGGCACACCTGAGCCAGCCCTCAACTCCAGCCAACTGCTACCTAGAGCCATTTCTAAAGCTATAACATCCACCTCAATCTGGACACCAGCCCAAGATCTCAATACTCTTTGGACACAGCCTGCTGGGTCTCCCCCGCCTCACTTCACACAATCTGGGGCCTGCTCTTCTCAAGCTCTATCTCACTTTGGCCAGCCTTACTCACAGCTGGCATTTAATGCAGGGATAGTGGTCTTTGGGGTATATAAAAATGGCATAGTGGTGTCAGAGGTCCTCTAACTTCATGAGAGGGAGACAGAATCATCATCAACATCAGCATCAGCCCAAAGCTGATGCTTATGAAGTGGAGGAAAGACATACCTCCTCTTTCCAACCTTTTTACCAATCCTGATAACAGTCCTTCCCACAGCATTTCTCTACTTCTCTGGTGTGAACACACAGACAATACTCACGATTATGGGGTTTATTAGGGAAGTTAACAGGTTGCAATTCAGGATCAGGACTAACCCAAGATACAGTTTTTCAATCAGGACAGCCTCTTCTCAGCTGTGCCTGCAAGCAAACCTCTCTCTGGCCCTAGGCCCCTTGGCCTGTGGATCTGGCCTCTGCCCTACTCCAGCAAGTGTTACAAAACCCTTTAGCTCCACCAACAAGTGCCTAGAGGCACCCTAGTCCACCAAGAAGCCTCCTGCTGGAAGGTGCTCAGCCCTCTGGCTCTGTGGGTTGGTACATCCACTATAGCCACCTCACTGCATGGGCTGGGAAGTCCACTGTGCCATCTCACTCTGGTCTCCTGATTCTGCTGCAGCTGTTTCTCTGCTGCTGCTTCTTGCTATCTTGCACTGTCTCCAGTTTATAGTTCTCGTTCTCTGTCTCTTGGGTCTAAGAGGTTCTCAGCGCAGGGACCCTGGGTCCAAAGAACATACTTTGCTCCCATCTCTTCTTAGTGGTAGTCAGGTCCCCCCTTTCCATTTCTGGGCTGGCTTATTTAAGCCTAACAGGTTAGTAAAACTGACCAATCCTCTTGTTAGGCTTCCATATACCTTATTTGCATGGCTTCACCCCCACAAAGTGCCATGCACCTTATTTACATGATTAGCAAGCTGAGCAATCCCCATGGTGGGCCACAAGCATCTTATTTGCATAATCCTACCCAATCATTTGGTGGGAGTTACAAGACTATGTTGAGAAAGATCATATAAAAGTGACCTATCATACCACAGGGCCCCACCCAGGCCTTGCACAGAGTTTCACTCCACTTCTCAGCCCAGGCTACACCATAGGTGCACATGTACAACACAGTTCCTCTTGGCAGCTTCATGGCCTGACATTCTCAGTGCAGAGTAGAAAATCCATCAGCTCTCCCCAAGGCCCAAGCCAGCATATTCTTGCTTCCAAACCATGTCAATGTGCCAACAGTGCACATTGGGAAAGGTACCATCCTTCCAGCTATGCAATCTTTCCTGAAAATTCCCATCCAGTCTCGAAGCACAGATGTCAGCTGCAAGCTCCCCACCAGCACCCACCCTAATGTCCAGTGTATATTCAGCTTCCCCCCTCAGCCCCTTTGGGTAGAGAGCGGGCATGTGCAGCCTGGCCCAGGCACCTGCTCCCTCCCTGGGGACACTGCCCATGGTTTTGCAATGATCATTGGTCTTACTTTCTGGGAACAGAAGCCTGTGCACGTGTCCACAGTCACGTTGGCCTGTATCAGGGAGTCAGGGAAGGTGTGTGTGACATTCTCTGGCAGTCGGAAGCACCCACGGTACGTGACGGTCCTCCCTGCAGGAAAGGAAATGGGTTTCTGGTAAGAAACGGTGCCCATGGCTGTTGATGCCTGCCACAAGGGAAAATATGGGCTTCTGATCTGGAAGCAGGTGTCAGTAGACTCCAAAGGGGCAGGTTTCAAATTGGAGAGGGCAAGTGTTAACAATTAAATGATGTCCCCCAAAAGTTATGTCAAAGTCTTGACTCTTGTACTTGTGAATGTGACCCTGTTTGGGGAAATAAAGTTTTTCTTTGAAGATATTATCAATTAAGTCATACCAGAGTAGGGTGGATCCTAGTCCTAATCCCTTCTGAGTGGTGTCTTATGAAAGGAGAGAACAGACATGGAGGCAGAGTCACACAGAGGAGGAAGGCATCATCTCCAATTTATAGTTCTCTTTCTCTGTCTCTTGGGTCTAAGAGGTTCTCAGCACAGGGACCATAGGTCCAAAGGACCATCTACAAGCAGCAAAGGAGTACCAAGCTTGGAGAGGTACGGAACAGTTTCTCTCTCAGACCCCCAGAAGGAATCAAAATAGTTGATACCCTGATTTAGACTCCTAGCCTCCAGAATTGTGCCACAATACATTTCTGTTCTTAAAAACTATTTACTTCATAGTATTGTGTTATGGCAGCCCCAGGAAACTAAGAGAGAAAACTACCCTGGATGGGGATGGGTAGTCAATCCATTTTCCTAATAGAAACCTAGTATCAGAACCTTGGTCACCAGAGTTGCCTATAAGGGACCAGTGGGACAAAAATTGCTGAGCTCAGATCTCACTTCTTTCATCCAGCTCTCTGGGGACAATGTCCGTCCATCCATTCATCCTCCCTCTCTCTCTCTCTCTCTCTCTCTCTCTCCCTCCCTTTCACAAATTTATATCTTGTACATCTACTCCATAACAGATTCTACATGTAGGCCTGATATTCTGGAAAATCACGTCTTTTTAGAGTTTGCATTCAGAGAGTAGTTCTGGAAATCTGAAATCCTGCCACGTTCCCTCTTGATGTACCTTCTGAGTCACACCACTGCTTTGCTTCTTAGTAAGATTTGCCTCTCTCTATCTTGAACTCCCACCTAATTTCTAGGAATGCTCCTCAAGTTCACGCTGTGCAGGAAGACGCTGCCAAGTTGCCCTCCAGAGCTTCTGGTGGAAAAGTCCTGGTCCATAGTTGCCTTCTTTGTGGCTGAACAAACCTTTTGGAACGTCCCAGTACCAGCTGCTTGCATTTATTTCTTACAGACAAATATTCATCAGAGTTTCTGTAGATGGCATTCTGATTCACATTCCATGCTCCTTTTAGCACAAGGTCTCCTGGGGCTCAGTGTTTCTCCAGCTCACTCTACCTGTCACATCTCCTGGCTGGCAGCAGAAACCCTCTCACACCTAAATCATTGCCAGTGACTAGCCACATAACTTCAAGCATGGCATGGACTCAGAGGTCTCTTTCAAGTTGTTTTTAGGAGTAACATGCACCCATTTGCCATCCCCTGATCAATCCGCAAGCATGTTTCTGCCCTGGCTCTTGGTATAAAGCCCTGGGGTGATTACTAGTGTTGGGCTCATAAAATTCTTTCTGCTCTATTGCATGACTAGGCCCCAAAAGAACAAAATATCTCGATGTCCTGGGCTCTCGTCCTTAGCCAGTTTCACTGTGGTGGGGCAGACACTGGGGAGGGGGATAGGTTCAGTGGCCAGGCGAGGGCTAGTCAGACAAGACATGGGGAGAGCAGAGTGATCAGCAACCCAGTGAGTCCCAGATGTCAGGGAATTCAACAAGGGATCATGAGGCCTCCAGAGTGGAGCTCCTGGAGGGAAGACGGCTGCACCAGGACCACCTGTGTCCCACACCCAGCCCCAACCCTGATACACAGCAGTTGCTGTTAGCTGCTCTCAAGTCAGGTCCTGACTCATGGCAACCCCATGCACAATGGCTGCCCTGTCTTCTGCCATCCCCATGACCAGTTGTGGCTCAGACCACTGTAATCCATAGAGTTTTCACTGGCTGAGTTTTGGAAAATCACAAAGTTTTCCTCCTAGCCCACCTTAGTCTGGAAGCTCCACTCTTCAGTATCATAGCATCATGCAAGCTTCCTGCGATATACGGATGGTAGCTGTGCATGAGGTCCCCTGGCCAGGAATTGAACCTAAGTCTCCCAGATGGAAGGTAAGAATTCTGCTGCTGAACCCCCAATGATTGTGAGTGTCCAACAGGCTTAATACATTAATGAATTCAATGAGATAATTCACATGAGGCATTACATAAACCGCAACATGTTAAAAACACGTGAGCAGCTAAAGGTGCTAGCATCAGCAGCCTCTCGGCTTCACTGATGTGATGATCTGGGAACAAGCTGTCACCTACTTCAGTCTATTCCACAGCTCTCTCCTGCACTTCTTAGGTATGAATCCAAGGGCCACTCTGGGCAAAAGGGCTCCTCCAAGGTGAAGGTTCAAGGTAATAAATTGATTACAACCACCCCTTGATTCCTACCTGAAGAGCACAATCATGGGTCTTACTCCTTTGAATGCTTCTTGTGAGTCAGAGTTATAATTTAAGAAGAGAGGGTCACCTAGTCACCTTTTGAGGTCCCGTCATCTCATTCCCCTGAGAAGGGAGAAAAAGCAAAGGCCAATCGCACAGGGCTCCACGGCCTGCTTAATGTTTTCCATGTTGACCTTGACATCAAGTCTAGCCCACTCAAGATCAGGGCCTCACCTGAATGACTGCATCATCTCTCCCTTAACCATTGGCCATCCTGAAGCACAATGGCCATGTCCAAAAATCAATGACGGAGTAAGCAGGAGGGGCTTGCAGGGCAACAGATGTCCACACACAGGCCTGCTCCTGCTCGGGGTGGAGTACAGGTTAGAGGTGGTTAATGCTGTTGAACCCATCATAAGAAAAGATCCAAGAAGCCAGTGTGGAGCAGATTGGTCCCCAGGATGCCTATTTGGATGCCCTGGTGACAGGTAAGCTCCTCAAGGACAAGACTGTGTCAAGGGCAAAGGGGAATGATAACCACAGGGAGGGAGTGGGAAGAGTGCTGCTGCATTGTGGGGATTGCAATCAATGTCATGGAAGAAAAAGCGTATGAACAGTTGAAAGGAAAACCAACTTACTCTGTAAACTTTCATCCAAATGACAATATTTTTTTTTTTTTTTTAAAAGAAAGGACAGGACTGTGTCCTTATGCCAGGAAATCCCTGTGCCCAGGACAGGGTTACCCTCAGCATAGGTGTCAATGAACAGTTGTGGGATGAATGAGCTCCTTAATTAGTCCACAAGCTAAAGAGCGTGCCATCAGTTTCTCTACCCTGTTGCTATCCCCCTATCGGTACCCCTGGTTCCCAGACACATCCTGGTAGATGCAAGCACCTCAGCATCCTCATTGCCTCCCCAGCACCAGTTGGCCAGAGCTAAGCACTAAATCTCTCTCCATTACTCTGGTCCCCTGATTACTCCAAGGAGTGTATCTACCTGATATAAATGTTCACCCCATACACCTGTCTATTATTTGGCTGGAAGCCACAGGAGTGAGTTCAGTCCCAGACCTGAAGGGTGGCTAGGGGGCATAATCTTGGGGGTCTCACCAGGCTCTATCAGACCAGAAAACCTGTTTTTTTTATGATTTTGAGTTTTGTTCCACATTGTTCTCCCACTCTATCCAAGATCTCTTGCACCAAACCCCCTCTGAGTGGTTGACAGTCGTAGTCAGGTACCATCTAGTTCTTCTGATCTCATGGTCATATAGGCTGAGGATCACATGGTCTACCAGTCCCTCGGATTAATTGTTTCCATGCATCTTTGGTTTTTTTCATTCTTCTTTGCTCTGGATGAGGAGAGACCTCATCATTGCATCTAGATGGCCACTTGAAGTTTTTAAGCTGCAGTCGCTACCCACCAAAGTAGGATGTAGAACAATATTTTTGTATAGTATGTTATGCCCATTAAGCTTGATGTCTCCTGTGACCACAGTCCCAAGCCCATAGATCCAACTACTCACTCCTACTGGGTAGCTGGCTGTGGCCAAGAAGCTACTATAAACTTTGATGGCATAGTTCTTAAGAGAGACTTCGCATCTGCCTCTGCCAGGTGCCCTCAGGTGCCCTAGAACCAACTTTTATGTTGGAGCTTTCGAGACAAAACAGATAGTATAAATTTGACCCCTCAAACTCATGCAAATGCAATCCTGTGATTATGAAGTCTTAGATTTTCCTTTTTTTCACCTGAAGCCTGGGTCAAAACAGACAAGCTTTCTTTCTGTCTCCCTAAACTGGTGGGACATACACACGTATTATATATATATATATATAAAATGTAAACTTCCACTGATTTATATCTCAGGGAAATTGAGTATCATTTTTATGCAGAGGTTTCAATCAAATTCCTTACCCTGGCAGGCCCAAGGTCTCCTTTTCTGATCTTCTTGGACAATAAAACCTAAGTCCCACGGCAGCCAGCCCAGCAACGTCCCTCTGCTGAGCTCCAGGGTAGCAGTGTCATCTATTAGTCTCATTGCTGGGGTTCTTGGTTCCCTCTTCATCTCTGGTCCCAGGGATTTTATTTTCCAGCAAGTTCATTTCTGCACTTAAAATTGTGTTTGTTCAATTTTATGCAGCACTTCTACGAGTTTTGTAGCTAGGAAACTCTCAGATTATCTGGTTTGCTACAATGCAAGAAATCCAGGTCTGCCTTTGCAGCTACAGAGACTGGAACCCAGAGAGAAGTGAGCTGCCTAAAGCCACACAGCATGTCTGAGGTATACCTAGGCCTAGATTTCAGGCCTCCTGGTCAGTTTCACTCTTCAGAGGGTATTATGGAATAAAATGGATTCCCCCAAAATGTGTGTTAGAATCCTGATCCCTATACTTGTGGGAGTAATCCTGTTTGGAAATGGGTTTTTTTTCGTTATGTTCACTAGATTATACTCAAGTAGAGTGAATTCTAAATCTCATCACTTCTGACTTATAATAAGAGCAGACTTGACACAGAAATACACACACACATGGTGGGGAAGACAGACACCATGTGAGGGTCATCTACAAGTCAAGGAACCAAGAAATACCAGGACCCTACAAGGAAGGAATCAACATGGAGGAGATCCTGATTTGGATCTTTAGTCTCCAGAACTGTGAGAAAATAAATCCCTGTTCTTGAAAGCCACCCCCTTGTGGTATACGTGTTACAACAGCAGTAGGAAACCGAAACACTGGGGAACAAGAAAGCTATACCTCAATCATGAGCTCCAAGCAACCTGGGAGTGGACCTGAACTCCACTCCCCACTGGGCCATGAGCGACCCATTGAAGGTGAAAGGGAGGGAAAGCACAGGCTCTGCCCAGGTAGCTTGGACCAGGGGCTGGAGGAGGGAAATAGCTGAAGAGTAAGGGACAGAGCACAGGGAGAGGCTGGCACACTCACGCTTCCTGGAGCCAGGCTGCAGCTCTTGCACGCGATACACAGAGAGTCGGTCAACGCCCCCGCACACTGAGCCCTTCTCCCCCTTGCACTCATGGTTACACTCCTCCAGCCTGACGCTCATTGCCGGGAGTCGGTTCCCGCAGTAACACTCTGCTCCGGCCTCCAAGCCGGCGTAGATATAGGACCTGCAAGGAGAGTGGGCTCTGAGGTTGGTCTGGAACCTGGGTCGGAACTGTGGCTGGGATCCTCACTGCACTGAAGTCTGGGTTTGGAAATGGCGGCTGGGCCTGGGTCCAGGAGATGAATTGGACTGGAAGCTGAGGATGGGTTTGGGTGAAGAATCAGGGGCCACAGACATCGATATGTGGCTAGCCATAGGGATTAGTCTTCAGCCAGTCTCAAGGGGCATCTGGCTAAGTCTTTTCCTTTGTGATGGGACCTTCTCGTTAACCCCAAGCTTTGTTCCCTAAGGTGTTGTCTATGGTTACAGGTTAAATGGCTCTAAAGCAGTGGTGTGCTGGTTAAACAGTTCCCAGCATGGGAGCAAGCAGCTCTGATTTGTAGTGTTTGCCAATTTCTGTGGTGTAAATATTTCCATCATGGCTGATCCCAAGCTCCCAATTTAACAGTCATATCCCAACATTTCTGAGAATTTAACAGTTGGCTACCGTGAGCGTGCATGAGCCAGCCACCTCCTACACACCACTGGTCTGAAATGCCTGCCACAGCCACTGTGTTGCAAATAGGCCTGCAGCACAGATCCTCCTTCTACAAAGGCACGTCTTTACCTACTGCAGCCAGCTTTAATGCCACAGGTAAAGAAAGATCAGAAATGGAACTGATAAGGCATTGCACAGATTTTTACTATATTTCTATTTTGAGGCTCAAATTCTCACACTCCCGTCTCAGTGGCTCTACGTGTAAAAAGCTCATGTTGAAAAGCCAAACACGAGTTTCTAGTTCCTAACTGGCTGCTGACTAACTGTGAGGCCTTGAAGGTCACTTAAAACTTCTGAGTCTCCGTTTCCTTAACTGTTAGGAGAAGAAAATAAGATTGTATCAGTCTAGATTTTGGCTTTACCTAATCTATAAAGCACATGCGAACACCCTGCCTTTTCCTTCGCCAGACTCAGTCTCTCCACCTGTAAAATGGGGATAACTGTTAACTAGCAGAGCGTGGTGAGGATTACATGAGATAACAAATATGAAAGAATCCAAACGCAATAGAAATAAATCAAGAGTATCATTTGCTGATGGGGTTTTGCTCCCTCCCACTCCAATCCCACCCCACTGAATTGTGAGTGGCTTGAGAGTAAAGCCCATTCCCTGGCACATGGTAACTGTCAGTATTAGAAAAAGCAAACCTTGTTACAAACACAAGATGGAAAAGAAACTTTTTCTAACAGAGCTAGAAAAATCTTCAGCTAAACTTTGGTTCAAGTCTTTTATTTCAAACGTATGAGCAAACTGAGGCACAGGGAAGGAAAAGAACTCACAGGAGTCACATGGTTAGTTCCTGAGCATGTCTGGATTAGAACCCAGGTCTCCTGGGTCCCATGCCAACTCATCAACAAACTTTCTTTGTTGTGGATAACTGGAATCTGATCAAATGAGGTTTAATTATTCTACCACAGCCAACTGGTAGCCACTATCTTGATGAGTCACCTTGTTCTGGGGCTGTCTCCCAGTGGCATCAGCCATCCAGGGCCCCACACTTACCGCTCTGCACAGGCGTCCTGACAGTGGGAGACGGTCATCTTCCTCAAGTCATAAAACACAGCCCCTTTCAGAGTCCTCTCCTGGCCGCCATCACTGAAGCACCCGATGTATGTACCTGCAGGACAGCACAGTAGGGACTCAGAAGCCTGGGAAGCAGAGGAAGGGTCCTCATCCGGGACCAGCCCTTAGGAAAAGTCCGAGGAACCTCAGCCCTTCCAGCCAAGGAACCTTGTAGAGAAAGAAGCCTTGGAGATGAGAGTTGAAGCCTAACTTCCTACTCAGTGTCCGAGCCAAGTGGGCACTGGAACACCTTCCAGTGTCCTTGGGACATTGAGGAAAGTTATCTTATTCATTTCCTGCCCAATATCTCACTGTCTACTTGGACATCCCAGCCAGGACCCAGGAGTCAGCCTGTCTACCACCTCCTTCTACCCTCCCCCCACCCTGAGTCACCAAGTCTGGATGCTACACCGTCTCCTCTGAACTCCAGCCTCCTCTCTGTCCCGCCCTCCTCAGCTCAGAGTGGCTGCATTGCCCACCGGCCTCCTTCCTCCACAAACAGCCTGACAGACAGGTTCTGTTGCCTCACTGTGATCCAGAGGAATTGGTTATGGAAAGAATGATTGTTTTGTATAAAGGAGATCTTTCAAACAGAAAGAGCTGTTTTAAGAAAAATAAGCTGTCCCAGGAGGGAGCAGGACCCACTGCTGAAGACGGGTAATAAGCAGGCTGTAAGAGAGATGGCCTGGGCAGCAATCAATAGGACCAGGTAACTCTGGAGCCCTCGTCCAGCCCAGTCACCTCTGGCATACTCCTAACGCGGAAGGGGACACTGGGTGGCAAGACTCCATGGAGCAATGGCAGGGCTAACCCAACCACCTAGGCATGAGGTGGAGTGCGTGGTGGCCCTGCTCTGTCACTCTGAGGGAGGAAGATGTCCCCGAGAGAGGCAGAGAGAGGCTCAGAGAATTCACGTACAATGCAAATGCATTCGACATGTAAATGTCACACACACCGCGGTGTTTGGAAAGAATGGCACATTGGGAATTTGCAAACATGCAATCACACAGTCCCCAAGCTGTGAGCGCACCCCCACAATAGCTGTGCTAAGATCTGGACTGGCACCTGCGATAAAGACATTGCATATCTTCCGAGAACGTCTGCATCCACTCCTGGGTGCCTCTGAAATGTCACCTGTGGAGCGCACCACAGCTTCCAGAAAATTAGGCTGTCTGGGAAGTCACACGCCCAAAGCCTCCCAACAGCCTGCCAGCTCCTAAATGGCTTTTCAGTGAGGAACAAAGTCCTGGTCTATCATCTGGGAGTTTTTATTCCTGGAAGGAACTTGGCCCAAAGCATCAGCTACCTGCTGAGTGGCTTGGAAGAGTGGACCCGCCAATCAATCATGCTCTGGGGCCCCAGACAAGGAGTGATTTTTCTGTCTGTGAATGGTGCACTTAATTGTGCTTCTGACCGTGGCTGAATCACTTCAATGTCATGTGCCTCAGTTTCCTCAACTGTCAAAGGAATCAATGCCCACCCTTTGTTTCCCATGGTCCTTGAAGGCTTAGATTCCTGACTACTCCAGCCCACTCTGGTCTCTCCTTCCTCTGGATTCTTATAGCTCTTGTGTCTGATAAAAGATAATGACAACCAAAAACTCTTTTGCCATCCAAATCTCTATAATTAACTGAGGTGGTTAAAATCATTAAACCTATGTGTCCTGTCTCTGCAAAATTACTTAAGGCTCCTTGAGGGCAGGGACCAAATCTTTATCCTATCTGACAAATTGTCAGTGTCAACAACTATTTGTCAACAGTGTATTATAGCTCCGATATTGATCACCTCTGAGGTTTCAGGGTAGAAGCCGTTAAACCAACCAGTCATTTGCCACTGAGTTGACTACAGCTCAGCAAACCCATGTGTGTCAGAACAGCACTGTGCTCCACAGGAGTTTCATTTTTTCATTGTTGTAATAAATAAATAAAGAGAGAGATTGAGAGACATGTGTGTGTGTGTGTGTGTGTGTGTGTGTATAACTCACTGCCATGGAGTTGATTATGACTCATTGACCCTACTGGGTTTCCAAGATTGCAAATCTTTATGGAAGTTGATTGCCTCATCTTCCTCCTGTGGAGCAGCTGGTGGGTTTGAACCACCGACCTTCTGGTTAGAAGCTGAATGCCTTACCCACTACACCATCAGAGCTATATATTTATGTATGAATAAACAATGTATATATCACAACTCTTGCCTACTCAGCATTTTGCAGTTATACAATTTAATGGTATCAGCTCCATTGGGTTTTCAATGGCTTTTTTTTTTCGGAAGCAGTTTATTGGGCCTTTTTTTGAGGCATCCCTAAGTGGACTCAAACCTCTAATCTTTCAGCTAGGGTTAACCATTTACACCCCCACTGTCTCCAAGGTGGGCACCAAAACTAAAAGCCCAAACCCACTGCCACTGTGTCGATTCCAACTCATAGTGACCCAAGAGAACAGAGTAGAAGTGCCCCATAGGGTTTCCAAGGCTATAATGCTTTATGGAAGCAGAGTGTCTCATCTTTCTCCTGCAGAATGGCTGGTGGCCAACCTTCTAGTTAGCAGTCGAATGCTTTAATCACTGCACCATCAGAGCTCCTAGGGTAGGGGCAGAGAGCCTAAATTCAAGGAGGAGATGGTCCTGTTGAATTTACACCAATATGCAATTCCCAGGACCACAGTTGAAGAAAGGCAGAACAGGAGGGTGACTAAGAATGGGGGAGACTGGAAATCTCTGCCACACAAGGAATGGTTAGGGATCTGCGATGCTCAGGTTAGAGAACATGGGCTGAGAGGAAGTAGTGACCACCTTCAAGTGTCTATGAAAGGGTCTTAACCCCCTTTCAGGCCATGAACCTCTTGAGGCTACCTCCATCCCAAGATACATCTGATCACACAGTATACAGTCAATAAGCACAGGCTAAACTTCTCAGTGGCAGAATTCTCGCCTCCCATGCAGGAGACCTGGGATCAATTCCAGCCAGTGCGCCTCATGCAGTCACTCCCCATCCGTCAGTGCAGGCTTGCGTGTTCGTGAGGCTGAACACGCTCCAGTGGAGCTTCTGGACTAAAATGGATTAGAAAGGAAGGCCTGGCAATCTACTTCTGAAAACGAGCCAATGAAAACTCTATGGATCACAACGGTCTGATCCTCAACCAATCATGGGGATGGCACAGGACTGGGCGGAGTTTTGTTCCCTTGTGGAGTGAGTCATCGGGAGTCAGGGGCTGACTTGATGGTAAGGGACTACTGAAAACTGCTGCTCAGATGCCCAGCCTCTCCAAGCTTTCCTCTCTCTGTCTCTCCTGTCTGTCTGTCTGTCACTCTCTCTGTGTACATCTCAGGACTAATTGAGACCTAAATGGATAGCTGAAGAAAGCACTCACCCAGATCAGGGAGAAGCAACTTCTCTTTTCAGCCTGCTTACTTAGTAAAAGAAAACTATGGTGATATTTGAGAATTTTCTGCTGTGTTGCTCAGCAAAGAAGAAATTACATTACAGGTTTCAATTAAACATCCAAAACACAAGCTCGGGGATTGTTAAACATTAATCACTGCAGATGGGGAAATTAACCAAAAGGCTCTGAAAGTGCCTGAGCTCAAGACCTTCAAAGGCTGAGACTATTAGATATACATTTCTGGGGAAGTGAATGGAAACAGCCTTTGGAAACAGGCAGACTTAGTTCATATCTCAGCTCTACCACTAACTGGCTGTGTGACCTGCCATGTACAACTTTCCCCCTCTGGGCCTCAGCTTCTCCATCTGTAAAATGGAGATATAATGCCAACTCCATAGAGTTGCTGAGAGAATTCCATAAGGTAACACATGTAGAGTGTTCAGTGCAAGACTTGGCATACAGTGAAAAACCAAAAAACCAAATCAACCGCCATGAAGTCAATTCTGACTCATAGTGACCCCTACTGGGTTTCCAAGGCAGTAAATCTTTACGGAAGTAGATTGCCCTATCTTCCTTCCTCAGAGAGGCTGGTGGGTTTCCACTGCCAACCTTCTGGTTAGTAGTCAAATGCCTTAGTTACTGCACCACCAGAAATCCTTTAGTATGTGCTCACTAACAAACATTTTAAAATTATTTCCTTGAAACGTAATTTCATCACCATTAAAATGGTGGTAACACCACTGATGGAGCCCCTGGGTGTCACAGTGAAGCACCTGGCTGCTAACCCAAAGGCTAAAGATTGGAGCTCACCCAGAAGTACCTCAGAAGAAAGGCCTGGCCATCTACTTCTAGAGAATCAGCCACTGAGAACCCTACAGAGGACAGGTCCACTCCGATACACAGGGGTTCATCAGGAGTCACAGGCAATTCATGACAATTGGGTTGTTGTCGTTTTCCAATACCACTTACATCCCAAGGCTTTTTGAGGGTTATATTAAATGAGGTAACAGATGTAGATGGACACAGAACAGTGCCCAGCACATCACAGAGCAGATAATAGTGATGATTATTCTAAATCCATTCTGTAACCTAGGCCCCAGTATGATGGTGGCTCAGTGAGTATTAGCTGAATGAACACATTGAGGAAAAAGAGAAAAAACGGTCAAAGGTCAGGTGGTTCTGAAAACAAGAAAAGGCTACCCAGCTGGCCATTTGATGGAGCTGACCGCTGGCTGGCCCTGGCTCAGTCTGCAGAAAGGGCCTGAGCCCCAGATGGCCCCTTATTGGTGAGGAGGAGGTGAGCCCCCTTTTTCTTCCAGGAAAATAACAAATGGCTTTTCTAACTCCTTGACAGAGGCAAGAATGTGCAGAAAAGAAAGAACTTCTGGGGAATTCACTGGGACACATTCAGAGGCGAGTTTATTACTTTCGGCTGAAATGGAGGCGATGTATTATTGTCTGTGACTCCGCATCTGTTCATTTGCACATCAAAATGGACATGCCGTGCGGCTATTAACGATGGCTTTGGAGATATTGGAATGTCTTTGGAAATTACTATCAATAAAAAACAAACTGGCTATGGAGAAGTTACTATTTTTCCCCAGTAAACCTACTGACATTTTATTCCATTATGGATGTTGTCCAAGGTATAATGAAATGCTTGGTGATTGATGGAGCTCCTGCGGCTTCCACGGCTTCAGGAGCCCCTTTCAGGAGGATGGCGGGCTGCCCGGCCACAAAGACATGCTGGCTTTGTCTGCGGCCTGCAGCTGTCCCTGGGGCTGGACCCCGGGCTACTCCCCATCTGGGAAGCTGGCCTGGCTATGCAGGGCCTGGGGAACCTAGGAACGAAAGGGGGCTCCAAGGAGGGTTTTCAGGCCTTTATCTCTTCTCCTGAGGGGCTCCAGTAAGGTGATCACACAGCCCATCCCGGCCTTGGTTTCCTTATTCTGCAGGAAGAGTAAATTCTTCCTTAAATCCGGAGGGGGTGTATTTAAAATATTTAACAATCTACGGGGGGCAATGACTGCGTGGAGTTGTCCACATTCAGCACTGGAGCGGAACCCTGGACAGCCCCTGATGGAGCAGGTATTAACCCTTTACTTCCTGCACAATGCACATTTTATTGGCTGCCTTTCCTTCCTGTCTCACTTCCTATTTCCCTACCAGTGTTTCCTGGAATCAAATATACTATGTGCATTTGAATCCCTGTTGTAGGAGTTGCTAAGGGAGGGGCCTAGGGCAATTTGTTTACCTTCTCTGTGCCTCAGTTTCTTCATTTATAAAGTGGAGATGTAACAATAATAGTGTGAACCTCACAGGTGCATGGTGAATGGGCTAGCTATTTTATTAATCAACCACAGATGCCATTTGTGGAGTCCAAAGGATATACTAGGTCCTAAGCATCCTGAGGATCACCTAGACAGACAGAGGGTTAACTTTAAGCTTCATCATGAGGAGCACTGGAGGGCACATCTGAATCACATGGCAGGCAGTGTGCTAATACTAGGGCTTTGACCTGGTTCATTCCGGTTGGACATCCTACAGATACCGAATCAGAATCTACAGTTTAACATTCTGATTCAGTACATCCTGGGGTAGAAATGCACACTCTCAGCAGGGGCTGCTGAACCAGCATGAACCTGATACAGCTGGTTCTGGGAGAAATAATCCGCATCTGTAACAATACCCCAGGTGATGCTGGTGCTGCTGGCCCGGAACCCCACTTTGAGAACCAGTTTCTACACGATCCCATTTAATCCTCACAATAACCTTGGGGTAAGCCTGTTGCCATCAAGTCAATTCTGACTCACAGTGACCCTATAGGACAGAGGAAAACTACCCCACAGGGTTTCCAAGGCTGTAATCTTTACAAAGCCACATCTTTCTCCTGTAGAGTGGCTGGTGGGTTCAAACCACCGACCTTTCAGTTAGCAGCCAAGTGTTGAATCACTGTGTTACAAAGGCTCCTTAATTTTAGGGTAGGCACCTGAATCTCCACTGCAGAGGGACCTGGAGAAGTTAAGTGCATGTCTAAGATCACACAGGTTGGTGGCTGCTCTGGGATTCCAGTGAGATCTGTCTGAACCCAGAGGGTGAGTTCTAGGTGACCTGGTCGCACATCTGCCTGGAGCCATAGGGAATTCTAGCTGTCAATGCATGAAACCCCAAAGGGCATCACAAGGCAGGCCCTCCAGGCCTCCTCAGAGCAGGAGAGGAGTCACTGTGAAGGCCGTGGGCCTGCAGTACCTACTTCTCAATCTGCCACCAGAGCCAGAGATAGGGGACCCGCCCTCAGCAGGGCTCCTGGGAGCAGCTCCCCAATATGCATGGGGAACCAGGGCTAAGCACCTACCTTGGCTGTGAGTGGCTGGCCTTGGGGCTTCAGGGCCCAGGGCAGGTGGCCCCTGGGTGTCACCCATGAAGTGGTGGAACCAGCGCCGCCGCAGCTGGCGCAGCTCGGAGTTGCGGCTCCGCAGCCAGCGGGGGCCAGGCCGGGGCCGGGCCAGGGGGCTCCGCAGCACGTCCACGCCGAGCAGCAGCTCCTGGCTGACGTGGGGGTCGTGCAGGGTTCTGCTGTCCAGCAGGCCCATGCCCAGGGCCACAGCAGCCACGGGTAAGGCCTGCAGGGGGCTGGGCACCCGGGGGCCCTGTGGGAGGGCCACTCTGGCCCGCTGCAGTAGCAGCAGGCTGCCGGTCATCAAGTAGGCGGCCGTGAGGAAGAAGAGCAGGAACTGCGTTCGGCGGAGAAACTTCTGGAGTCGGAAGAAAGGTTTGGCCATGCCCCTGGGCGGCAGGGCTCCCGGCTGGAGCCTGGGGACGGCCCCTAGCACCCAGGTGGGAGGGAGGCCAGGACCCCTGGAGGCGTCATCCCTGTATCCTGGCTCCTGGCACCAGCCTGTGCTCTCCTTCTGGTTTCCAGCAGGCGCTCAAAGGGCATCACCACTTTCCTCCAGTGGCCACTGGGCCCCGCAACTGTACCTTCTGCTCAAGTGTCGTCTCTGAGCTCCACCAGTCCTGATCTCCCGGCCTGGAAATCTGGAAAGGCGGAGAGAGAGCACTTAGATGCAACAGGAGGGTCCACCGCCCCAACTGCTGCAGGGTCAGGACACCCTTCACCCCTGTACTTGAGGTACCTACATCACAGGAACACTGGACAAAGAGCTGGGTTCAAATCCTGGGCTGTGTGCCATCAGGCAAGTTGCTTAACCTTGCAGGCCTTCAGTTTCCTCATCTGTAAAATGAAGATAACACTCTTCCCCTCAAACTGTGTGAACACCTAATAATGATAGCCAGTTGCCATTGAATTGACTCCAACTCGTAGGCAACCCCATGTGTGTCAAAGTAGAAACGTGCTCCATAGGGTTTTCAATGGCTAACTTTTGGAAACAGATCACCAGGCCTTTCTTCCAAGGCATCTCTAGGTGGCCTCAAACACCCAGCCTTCAGTTAGCAGCTGGGTGTATTAACCATTTGTACCCTTCAAACCAAGAAAACCAATCTCACTGCCATTGAGTTGATTACGACTCATAGTGACCCCCACTGGGCTCCAAGGCTATAAATCTTTATGGAAGAAGATTGCCCCATCTTTCTTCCATGGAGTGGCTGGTGGGTTTGAACTGCTGACTTTCTGGTTAGCAGGCAAATGCCTTATCCACTATGCCACCAGAGCTCCCTAATCATGGTAGAGATAATAAGGTGGAAGAGGTGGAAGAAGAACAGCAACTTTTTACTGAGCCCTTACTATGTGCCAGCACTGAGCTAAGCATTTTACACATTAGCTCATTGTATTCTCACATCAATTCAACGAGGCGAATACTGTAACATCCCATTTCACAGATGAGAAAACTGTGGCAAAGAGAGGCAAAGTAACTTCCCCACAGTCACACCACTGGTAAAGAGAGCAGCCAAGGTTTGCACACAGGCATTCTGTGTCAAAGCCCACACTCCCAACTACCACATGGCTCAGCCTATCCTGAGACACCACCAAAGTGAGTGCACCTAGGCCCGGGTTCAATTCCCAAGCAATGCAACTCATGCAAAGGCACCGCCCACCTGTCAGTGGAGACTTGCGTATCGTTACGATGCTGAAGAAGTTCTTCCAGACCAAGATGGACTAAGAAAAGCCTGGCAAACTACTTCTGAAGATCAGCCAATGGACACCCTATGGCTCGCCACAGTCTGATCTGCAACTGACCATAATGATGGTGCAGCACCGGGCAGTGTTTCGTTCCATTGCACATGGGGTCACCATGAGTTGAGGGCTGACTCCATGGCAGCAAGCAACAAGAATCCCAGGGCATAAGTATGTAACAGGTGCTCAATGCAAGTGCATGCAGTAACTCCCAGGTGTGCACTGGGACTTTGGGCTATGTTTGAAAAGAGCTTCTGTGGAGGCTGGTCAGCTTTAAGGTAGGTCTCTAACTTAGAAGGGGATGGAGTGAGTTTGCATAGCCTTCCTGAGCCTCCTGGATGCAAAAGGCCAGAGATGAAGGAACAGGAAAGTCTCAGGCTGTGCACCTGCAAACAGAGACTGGGGCGCCTGGTAAGGAGAAGGGCTCTGGAGTGGCCTTCCGGGGCTGCCCCTCCACTGTCCTGGCCACTCTCACCCTGGGTTTCAGTTTCCAGCGGTAGCTTTGCTGAAGCATGCTGTCAGGGTTGGCAGAGGGTCCTGCAGCTGCCGTGAGTCAGGATGCTGTGCAAGGAAGGCCCTCAGCACAAGGGCAGGCTTGTCCCAGAAAGAAAGGCTCCTCGGAGCGTGACTAAGCCGCTGCCTGTAACTAACATGGCCCGGGACCCCCGCCAGGCCCCACAGCTGCTCAATGGCTGCTCTGTGCACCAGGGACAACCGGCTGGGTGTGAGAGGAAAGACAATGTTTGAGCTCTAGTGGCCTGGCACTGCTGGCCCCATGAGAGGCTGGAGGCTCGGGGCAAAAGCACAGAGGGGCTTAGAGCAGCGTCACCCTTTCACATAAAAAGCTGAGGCCACCAGGTTCTGAAGCCTCCAGGGAGGGCACAGGTCTGCTAATGAGGGTCAGCTGTCTCTTTAGGCTGGGAGTGAGGGTGGCCGGCCAGGGAATCAGCAAATTAAAGGTGGACTAAACTGAGTCAAGAAGCAATTACAGAGTGGGTCTCTGGAGCTTTTATTTTTCTAAGCTGCTGTGTGCCAGGCCCACCCCAGCCATCCTCGTCAGATTTGTAAAACCACAGAGAAAATCCCAAGAAATCCTGACTGATCTCCTTGCCTCTAGCCTTGTCCCCTCCAATCCATCCTCCATGAGGCTGCCAGGGTGATCCTCCTAACATGCAAATCTGATCACAGCGCTCCCCTGCTTAAAACCCTTTTCAATAGCTCCCTGCAGTTTTGGTATAAATTTCAAGATCCTGGTGGTGTAATGGATAAGGCACTTGACTGCTAACTGGAAGGCCTGCGGTTCAAACCCAACAGCAGCTCTGCAGAAGGGAGATAGGGTGATCTACTTCCACAAAGACTTACAGCCTTGGAAACCCAACAGGGGTTGCTATGAGCTGAAAACGACTTGATTGGAGTTTGTTTTGGGTTTAGCATGACATACAAGGCCTCCTTCACCATCCAATTCAGCCCAGCCAGCCTTACCTTTTGCCAACCCCTTTCTGGTCATTTTATTTCTCTCTTTCTCTGTCTCTCTGTCTGTCTGTCTCTCTCTCACACACACATACACGCACACATTTCAGCAAGGGTGCACATGCTGCCTTTTATGCCCTTTCCTCTCTTTTCACCTGGCAAATCCCTGTGTATCTCAGCCCAGATATCACCTCCTCCAAGAAGCTTTCCCTTACTACCCACTGGTTTAGATCTCTGTCTTCCCATAAGCCATACTGATGCCTACCTATGCCAGCACTCTCTATTCTGAGGCAACTGTAACTGTCTTCACTTGTCAATCATCCCACGCCAGCTTGGGAGCAACTAAGGTGCAAGGCCAAACCCTATTCATTTTAGAAACTTCAGGCCTCAGCATGAGACTGGGCATAGCAGAGACACTCAGTGAATTTTGTTTCAAAGTTTTAAAAATGAATGAGAGGCTGGATGAATCAGTGGACGAATCCTGATACCAGAAGCCCACTCCTGCAGGGTCTGAAGGCAAGGAAACTTCAAATTCCACTCATCCAGAAACATGGGAAAGATGGGGCAATGTCCTGATCACAGGCCCTCCAAGATGTCCAACAACAGGGTAACAGAACAGAGGTATTTCAGACACGCGGATGTTCACAAAAGTGCCTAAGCTTTATATGCTATCCCTTCTGGGCTGAGATTCTAAGAGGGATTTCCAGGGCTGTTCATAAAGAGGTGTGGTTAGTAGGTTGTGATTCTATCCGTGAAAAATCCTATAAAACTAAATAAAAGGGGGAGGGCTGGACATGTGCTGTGAAAAGAACACCTCTGGGTAAACTGGAGCAGAGAGGTGGGAAATGATCAACAGTTTAGAATTCTGAAGGCAGGATGCTGTGTGAATTTCACATACATTTAATATACAGGGTTTGGAAACATGATCCAAGTAGTGGAGGTGGAATGGGTGGGTGAAGCCAGTTGTCAAGGTTAATCCATTAGGATTCAATCCATCATACCCAGGCTCCAGACATCCTTTCCAGAGGAGCCTCCCTAGTCTGCGGAGGCAAGCAGTAGGCTTGGAGACAGGGGGATTGGTGCTTTGAGGTGTCCCACACCTCTGCACAGCAAGCTGCCACTCACAAAGCTGATTTCCAGCCCTCACAGGGGGACCCTTCCATGGGTTTAGGGGTCTGCATGCCTAAAGCATTAGGAACTAGCTGCCTTGGCCCTCGCTCTGGACTTTCCCTGCATTTCACCACCAATATCACATTCACCATGTTCACACCAATTGCCCTCCCCACTGCTGCCCCCCACCCATGCCCACCTCTCCTCCAGACTAGCAGCCACTCCAGAGAACAAGTCACACCTTATCTCCATGTCCCCAGATTCATCAGGGCCCGCTATTATAAATCACTGTTGAATGACTGAGCCTGAACAAAGCCTGGAGTGGGCTGGGAGACCATGGAGCATGTATAGCAGGGCTCACACGCAAGCCACGAGGTGATACACACAGCAGAACCGGCCAGAAGAGGGGGATGTGCATCTAGGCAAGGTCTGGCTGCACAGAGCCTGGGAGATCAACAGCTGTGCCCACTGTACCCCAGAGCCAGAAGGGCCTCCATTCCAGAAGAGCAACCTTGGGCCGATCACTGCCCAGGGCTGGGCCTCATCTTCCTCACCTGTTCAGTAGGGGCAAACCAACATCGCTGCAGGGATCAAAGCAGGCAGTGCAAGTAAAACCTGTTGCCTGTAGATTGTGATGTGCATTGGTTATGGAAACGAAAGAAACAAGGCAAGCTAGAGGACAGGCCTGTAGCAGCTGTACCACTGATGAGATCAATCCCAAGGAACTCCCTCCTCTCTCTCTTAGCCCCTGGCCCTCTACTTCCTGGGGGTGGGCAGTATTCCATTCTTGCTTGCAGCCCACCCACACACTAAGACTGCTGATAGCAACTGCTTTAGTTTTCAACACCACCATCAAGCACTTGCAGTGCTAATAGGTGGGCGATGCACTTTACAAGCACCATCTCATTTACTCTATTCAACCCACGGGGGCAGATGCCCTTCTTGTCCTTACTAAAGAGCTGGGCACATGGGGGCTTGACTAGCACTCACCCCTGGGCCAACCGATTCTAACCTTCGTGCTAAGATCCCTGCCTCTCTACCTCAGCCATGGCTTCACAGGCGGCAAGA